CCTCAGTTTGAAATCAGAACCCTTACAGATCCTTGAGCTCCGAGGGTGGGGCTTTTGGACTGATGGGGCACCCCTGTTTCTGAAATCAAAACTTTGACAAATGTTGAACTCCGAGGATGAGGCCTTGGACTGATGGAGCGCCCATGATTTTCAGATCAGCACTCTTACAGAACTTGAACTCCGGGGGTGGGGCCTTGGACGCCCCTGGTTTTTGAATCAGAACTCTGACAGATCTTGAACTCCGAGGGTGGGGCCTTGGACTGATGGAGCGCCCCTGATGTCTAAATCACAACCCTTACAGAACTTGAAGTCCGAGGGTCGGGCCTTGGGTTGATGGGGCGCCCCTGATTTCTAAATCACAACCCTTACAGATCTTGAACTCCGAGGGTGGGGCTTTGGACTGATGGGGCGGGGCGCCCCTCAGTTTTAAATCAGAACCCTGACAGATCCTTGAGCTCCGAGGGTGGGGCTGATTTTTTAAATCAAATCTTTGAACTCCGAGGATGAGGCCTTGGACTGATGGAGCGCCCATGATTTTCACATCAGCACTCTTACTGAGCTTGAACTCCGGGGGCCCCTGGTTTTCAAATCAGAACTCTTTCTGATCTTGAACTCCGAGGGTGGGGCTTTGGCCCTGATGGTGTGCCCCTGATATCGGGTTTAGCGGGTTTAACGGGTTTATCGGGTTTAGCGGGTTTATCGGGCTTAGCGGGTCTATCCGGTTTATCGGGCTTCGCGGGTTTATGGGGTTTAGCGGGTTTATCGGGTTTAGCGGGTGTATCGGGTTTAGCGGGTTTATCGGGTTTAGCGGGTTTATCGGGTTTAGCGGTGCGCGTCCGCTGTTTGCGCGTGCAATGGCTGTTCAGCTCATACTTTGATGTGTTGGAACCATGGATCGAAGTACCAGATCGAGATCCCCAGGAGCATCAGAGTGGAGATGGCATTGGGCCACCAATGGCTCTTCATGGTGGCTCGAATACTTTATTGCTTCCAGAGATTGGATCAATAGCCGTACGCAACAACATGATCCAATTGAAAACTCACCTACTACGGCAACCCCGGGAGCAACCTCCACTACTTCGACCCCTCCAACATTTAAGAGGAAGAGATCACGCACTCCGTGACTAGCATAGTTGAGCTGATAATTAAATGCACTCATTGCTGCTTTCCGCGGCCGACGTGCACAGCAAAGCTGTGGCAAATTTCCAAAAAAGGCAGGACGGTTTTGTCAGTTAAAAGCATGACCATTGACATACAGCACCTCCTTGCGGGCGCAAACAGCATCGGTTGAGCTGGTACGAGACAGCTATGTACGTTCCTTTTCTTGGTTGCACTGCCGCAGCCGTTTGGTAAGGCAACATACCGACCCACAACATGATTCCATCTACCCCTCATGACCATGGGTATGACATCAGTTCTTGGGGCTCCGATGAACTGGCAGCGTTCCTGCGGAAAGACGACATTCAGCATGCTTCTTCAGGCACCGTCGTGAATCCTGAGGTGGCACCAGATTCTACGATTTCCATTAAGAAGAGGAAGGACAACGGGGACGATATTAGTTCTTGGGGCTCTGATGAACTGGCAGCGTTCATGCGGAAAGACGACATTCAACATGCTTCTTCAAGCACCGTCGTGAACCCTGAGGTGGCACCAGACTTTACTGTATCCACAAAGAAGAAGAAGCGCCGGAGTAGAACTTCAACCAGAAATTCGTCACCGATTTTCACAACAAAGCAAGATCACAAGAAGAAGAAAATGAAAAAGCAGCAGCAACAACAACAACAACAGCGTACTTTTTCGTCTTCAACATCCAGTGCATCCCCTACACCGGCAGCACCTGCAGCTACACCTTTGCATCGGTCTCCTTCTCCAGAGCCGCGGTCATCCGATTCCGTGGCGCCATATGACACAGTGTACCCGCCGGTGGTGTACAGGCGATCTACCAGAGCATGCGCCAAGATGCTGTTCCGTGCCGGCCTCCGTTGCCAGTGTCATTTTAAGCTTCTGAGGGAATGCCCGACACTTCAGCGTCTCAATTCCGATAACGAACGATGACTGCTACTGCGAACAAAACTTTGCTTCGCCCCGGTTGGGGCTGTGTGCGTGTGAACTTCCCTAGCACATGGGAGCAGAAAGTCACTCTTATCGTCGATTGCTTTCTATTGTCAGCCACATGTTGTGTTCCCCAACTGTAGATAATTTTGCAGGGAAGCAGGACATCCTTAGCAGTGCCTGCCCAACGCAGAGGCTGCTAAGAGATGCTGATGCGACAGAGGACGCTCTGTTGTGTACCTGCAAACAACAGCTGAGGCCCCTGAGCCAGCAAGATTAGAGGGCCCCTGTGCCAAGATTAGTTTCCCAGTTACCGCAAAGCATGTTGCAATTACATTCTGCACGTTTGCCACAATCTGACATGCACAACCAGCAAGTGCAACATGCCTCTCTCTCCCTTCCCTTCTGCACTCTTGCTCTTGGCCGAATCAATCAGTGTGTGTGTGTGTGCGCGCACATGGACGGAGGGACGGCCCCGCCGCAAGGAAGAAGGTCAAGGCATGCTGCCACGGCGTCATCTCGCAACCTAGCAGAACAACATACACAAATGTACAGACAAGCAGGAAGCAACAGTACACAGAGGGGCGCCTCCTTCCTTGAGTCAATGCATCATGCGGGCATCACCGGATCACACGTTGCTGATCAATGATGCCTCGACATACTTATGTGATTGCGAATGCCAGTCGAAACTCTAAAATCTACACTTCTGTATAATGACATCTAGACAGCATTGTGTGAACTACTGGCAGAATGAGAACTAGTGGTCACGTAAAGCACACAAATCATGTTTTAGGAACATGCGCAATGGTCGACAATGCATGCAAAGCTTGAGGTGTATGGCTTATAGTGTAGGTGCTTACGGCACTTGTGTTCTCAGGCTAAGGTCGTCTTGGACGTTTACTGTCTTCGGCGGATGTTGCTGGAGTTGAGGGGATTGGTCTTCTCTGCATCTGGAGTACATAGCGTTTAGGCTTTGGAAGACACGGCTTAGTTCGGGGTTTAAATGCTGCTGCAGGCGGAGCTCTATAGATTGCAGTGTGTCAGGCTCACAGAAATGGTACTCAGGTTTCGGACGTCAAGAGACAGGAACGTGGGCGTCTGGCTTCCAGCTTTTGGATGTGTTCAGCCGTTGAGCTTTCTCCCGACGGCTTCGGGGCTCTGCATGCTTGCAGAAGCTTCGGTTGGTTGAATGTGGGCTTTGGCTTGGTGCAAACGCATGCAGATCCCAACCGTTTTCTCAAGTCACGCACAGTCCCCTGCAGCCGTCAATAAGCTTTCGATTCAAAAAGTACGACGAGCCGATAACACTTCCTAACACTGCTGAACTGAAACCTGTCCCGCATATACCTGGAACCACGCAAGGGAATCCGCTCGTGCCAGGAATCAGAAACCATCAACCGACTTGCAAAGCCAACTCTTCCCCATGCTCGCCCAGAACTGCTGCTTGAAGTCAGATCACGAGCAAACTGAGCAGTCTCAAGTTGCACCTGTGTCCACTGAAACTCGTTTAGTAGAAGTGCTGGGACGGCACAGATTCTCGATCGGTGCTTTAGCGCTATCTTCGCTCAAAGGTTGAAAGTCAGGCGAGCGGAAGCCACAAGAGTTGTGTCCGCTCAAGCACCAGGTCTCCAAATGTTCGCTCTTTTGCTGTCGCTGGAAAGATATTGAAAACACGGACACCCCACACACTGACACCCCATTTGTGATATACAGGTTACACCTCAGCCCCATTATGGATAAAGTGAGTTGGCTGGATAAAAGCGCGAAGATGTGTATCCTGCTGCTGCTTCTCACAGAACGACAAATGGCCGAAAAGTCCTGTCTGTATTCTTCCTCGAAGGTCTAAGAGAAGCAGCTGCTTCCCGGTCTGGGTAACGGTTCAGAGCAAAGGGCTCTCCTCGAAAGCACGGAAGGCAGCTAGGCTACCTGTGCGGAAGTTGCCAAGTTTGCCAATCTGTCTTGGCAAACCATCGTGCGTGAAGACCGAGTGCATGCAATCCTCTATTTGCAAGGCACGCAAGTTGAGGAGCAAGCACCGTCACGCGTGTTGCCATGTTTCTCTGCAGAGAGTCAGCTGCTGGAGGCCTTACGACTTGTTGACCTGAAGCATGCACAGACTGTGCCATCTTCGTAAACGTCAAGCCAGCCAAGTGCATACATCTTGAAGATATGCATAGCGTCCTGTGTGAAACTAGCAATCCTCTACTGCACTAAGTACTCTCTGCGCTTTATTGCTCATCCCGTCAGCCGACGCAGAGGAACGCCCAGCCTGGGCTTCTGCCTCCAAAAAATTTTCAGCAAAAAATCGGAACTTTCCAGGCATGAGTGGCGCTGCTCAGGCTCTGGCCAGTTAGTCTGCACTCCGGCCCGTGGTTGTTCGCACAAAACGTCTCTACACAGACGGCCGAACTTTCAGAAAAGGCCACGAAGCCTAATCCGTACGAAGCTTGGAGCCCGTTGGTCCTTCCGTCTGTGAGTGCGGGGCCTTGGAGTGCAGACCCGGCTTGTCTTCTAAGCAGGGCCTGTCCTCTGGTCAGAGAGGTGAATGTGTGGGTGTACTCTTGCACCCTCCCGTGCAATCGATCTTTCATAGCCGATCACAAACAAAACCAACCCGCATAAGTACTGTAGGGTGCTGTTCTCAAGATCACTCGGCCGATTGATATCATACAATACAGAGCGTTGCTCCGTCTACTCTGCAGGATCGTCTTGAAACACGAAATGCGAAGCACTTGCCACAAGGAACTAGGCACTCTGTGTCCGATAGACCAGGTCAAACCTGGTGAAGCACTGCCAAGCCTTTCGGCCTTTCTCGGACCCTCCGATCAAACTTTGCCCGGATACTGAGACTGAATCTGAACAATATCCGGCAGTGAACACTCAGGACACACAAGGGTGGAACTTCAGTTGCTGTTCTTTCCCTGTGCTATATCGAGAAGTCAAAAAGTCTAGCACAGGAAGCCACAGCTGGCGCTCCAGCGCAGCTTGGATTCGTTGTTCACAAGGCGTGCTCGCTGGCCATCTCCCTTGACAAAGACTTCTTGGAGCACTGCCTGTCTAAGCAATCAATTCTGGCACCACAGTGGTTTTCTTGCAGCAGTCCAAACTGGGACTAACGATTGGTGCAACTTGAAGTAAAGCCAGCGGTCACGGCCAAAATCCAAATGCAAACGGGCTTCAGCTGTACGGCCGGGAATGTCCAGCCCAGTCCGGTAGAAGGGTAGAGCCTCAAGAACCACAACTCGACCAGTGCGACCGATTTCCAAGCAGACCGTCTCAGCTAACCACGGCATTCTGCCAGGGCATCAAGCCCCTTTCGTCTGGCATCGCTGCCTGGCAAGGTGTCAGAATGGCAGCCTATGCTCAGATGTGCTGCTTCTGCCAGCTTCACAGCCGAATGTTCTCGGGGATATTCTCAGACTGCGGTTCTCCCGTCCAGCTGTCACTTTGCCTGTCGAGCATGAGCTCAACAATGCCACGCATCATCAACATTCATCAACTTTCTGGCTTCTCTGACTCACCTTGCCAAGCAAGCAAAGCTAGGTTGCTCCTGTCCTCTCATGAACTTGGCTAGTTAAATTCTGTCAAAATTAAGCATCGTGCCCGGTAGGACTCCTTCTTCGAAAGCTTCCTTCTTCCTGCCTGTACCTGGAGACCTGGCAGGTGACAGCCAAAGCCAAAAGCTTTACGACGATCCTGCAGGTCCGAAACCCAAGAGCTGGGCTCCCGAGCGCCGCCCGGTTGCTCGATTCGGACTGAGAGTCTCCATCTCCAGGGTTCGAGTCTTCCGAACTTCCCTGGCTTCCCTGCGAGGCGCGGCGAGGCGTCGACAAATCATGCGGCTGCGGCCCTGAATCCGAGAATCGACATCCGGCCTCGGCCTTTGGCTGAGATCCATCTGCTGAAAAGCCATTGCCTGGATGAGAAGCTCGGCTCACATCCGTTTGTGACTTCTGTCGGAGCGCCCCGCAGCGCCCCGGCCTTTGTCGGAGCCTTCTTCGGAACCACCGGAACCGCTCTCGCCCAAGTTGGCACTGCCAGCAGAACTCTTGTCGGAGCCATTGGAGTCGCCCAGACCGTTGGCACTGCCAGCCGAGCTCTTGTCAGAGCCGGATCCTCCCGAGCGAGAGCCTGCAGACCAGCTCAGGCGTCAGTTTGCACAGTGAGCCGTCTTTGGCTTTCTTGCATGACAACTGCACTCTGCTGCGCCTGATCCTGTTGTCGTTGAATCTCCATTTGTTGCTGTCGAGTCCGCCTGCAAGAAGCACACTGGTGAGCAACGATACAGCCACTGTGAATAGCAGCCGGGACCCTGAAACCACATGTACTGCATGATCGCTAAAGGCTAGCCAAGACACTGATTGACCAGCATCTTGAGGTTTGGCAATCCGTTCAAAAGGCTCCACACCTTGGCTCAGTACTCAAATTCTGCGCATGTGCAGACCATGAAAGATGCAGGATTTATCCCAACTTTTGCATCGTGCCAACGATCCTGTGCAACTGCGTGAGAACCGGGGAACAGGCTGATCATGTGGCCAGCAACTTTCTGGTTTGTGCCAACTGCCAAGATCTTCTCAACCTGAAGAGACCGAAGCGAACCCTCTGCCCTGGGAAGCCATTCCACGAACCGACGAGGACACATCTCCAACGTAGACAGCGTACACGCGCATCCGCACTTCGTTGAGAGAAGGACAGCTTCCGGAGAGTCCATGACGATGAACCCAAGGCCTCGCACGACGAAGAAGCAGAAGACCGTAAGTGGATGAAGTAGCTGTAAGCAGTTGTAGCCTATCCCATGATACAAGTCTCCAAGACAGCCACACAATGTGCAGCTTTCTCTTTTTAGCTGAGCAAATCTGAGTGTCCGACTGCCGGGACGGATTCGTGACTGCGCACCCTGTCGACGAAATGGCTTTACCTCAGCACTTTGAACTGCAACAGGCGACATCTCACGGCCTTCAGCTGCTGAACAACTCGCATTCCTGGCTTTTACAACAGAACCTTTGTCCCGTAGCGTCTGTACCTGTGTCCCAAGCCTTCGAGTGAGCAACGAGCACCTTCACCACTTTCCCGTACTGCCCGTAGAAAGCGCTCAAGACATCCTGGCAAACGACACGCCACTGTGGTCCCTAACCAGATGTCTGACTTTTGATTCTCGAGCCCATCAGCACCGACTACTCTGATGACAAACTGACATCGAAAGTAATCAACATAAAGGGGCCTTTGATTGGAAGCCCATGCCGTTTATCCGCCGCCTGTGGCATCTCTTTCTTGAGCTCACGGTTCAACTCTGCTTCAGAGGAATCGGAAGCCTACGAGTCAGAACACTGGGCTTCCCGCGTGATGAATACACACCTGAGGAGTGTGAAAAACGGTCAAGTAAAAGAATTGCCGTCGTCTTTTGGTCCCGCACCGTGGGTCTTCGCTCTGCAGCTGTGTCAAGTGCATTCCCAGGGTGCTCTTCTTATCCTTCATAGGCAAAACGTGATGCTCTACTCTCTGAAACCCAATGAGCCCTGGCTGGTGCCAAGTTGAGGACCCGATCGGAGCTCGAAGGTGGAGATGATGGCGTTGCCTTCCAGGGCTCAACGAGTCAACGCTGTCGCAGCGCAAGGCCGCCACAAGTTGCGGACCTCGGGCTCCACATTCAACCAACCTTCACAGCGAACGGAATCAACGGCACCTCAAAGAGCGCAACATGCTGGTGCTGCCGCCTCCAGTCCTTTGAGTGTTCTTCTTTCGGACATGGTTCGTCCTCGTTTGGGCCTCGGCATGCAACACAAGCCTCATGAACATAAACGTTGTATCCACAAGTTCCGCAGTCGCAGACAGGTTGTGGTCCCGATGCACAACACGTCTTCGGGAGTGGGTACTCGCACGATTTAACCGCCAGGGCATCGGTGGCTGCTCGCGCAGAGGCATCAGGCAGAAACTGCGGCAAAGGTGATTGCAACAGACTCGAGCAATGTCAAGACATGAGGTCAGTGAGCAGAGGTCTATCGCAAAAGCCAGGACAGGCAGGGGCGGCTTCGAGGGATTTCAGACTGGCCAAACCAAGGCATCGAGTGAGCTACCATGACTTGCGTCAGTGTGGACTGCATTCTTGGGTGCGCGCCCGTCCAGCGACCTTGTCATGACCTGCAAGGAGAGAAGCTTAGCCGCTCAGCTCATAACATGAAGTGCCAGAGGCAACCTGAATGGTTTCCCGTGGCTACGGAGCCAGGCATTCCAAGCTGTCCTGAATCAAGTGGGCTTCTTATGACATGCGGAGCCTCTGCGGAACAGCCAAGGTCTGGACCATAGTTGGCCAGCGACTCGAGTGTCGCTGGGAATGTGTTGGAGTCGGACCTTCTCAAGCTCAAAAGCTCAGTCAAAGCCTCTTTGAAGAGAAAACAGGGACTGTCAGCTCGGTCTCGCACGGTCCTGGCCAGTCCAGGCCAGGTGCGGGAGGGGCATGAACATGCGACGGCAAGGACGAGAAGGATGGAGTTTGCAATTGTGGCACCTGCTGGGCCTGAGAACTGTTATCAGCTCTTGCTGGTCAACTTGAAGCTTCTGAGCCTGGAAACTGGAAACCGTTCGAAAGGACCTGACCATGTAGGCGGCTGTCATAAAGCGGTTGACCATCCTTGGCATCGACACGCACTGCAACACCGGGGAACGGTGCCCAGGTTCATCTGCAAGCTTGCCTGAGCCATAGCCAAGATACTCCTGCATTTGCTGTAATTTTGGCTGCAGCTCCTGCATCTGGCGCTGCCTCCAGCTGGCAAAGCCAAACCCCAACACGCCTCCAATGAAGATACTTAGAACCCGGCATTTGTTGAAGCTGCTGCATTTGTCGCAGCTGCTGCAACTGGGTACGTGACTCCTGGCAGGAACGGACTCCGAAACATTCTGCAAAAGCCTGATGCAAAGCTTTTCAGCCTTGGCAGGGAAACAAACCATGCAAATATACGAAGCCGGGACCGTCCTGCAGCCAGCGAGAGAGTATTGTCCTGGGTCGGCTGCGACTGCTACTCTCTCTCTCTCTCTCTCTCTCTCTCTCTACGAGGTGGGGCATGCAGGGAAGTCCGATCCCAAGGCCCCGCGTGCGCGCACACGCACCTGCGGTCCCTGATATGTTTCTTCTTCTTTGAGAGCCACATGCGGATCAGAATCAGAGCTCCCCTAACTTCGATATCAAAGTAAACCCCCGGAAGGGTTTTTCTCTTTCTTTCCCTCTCTCTCTCGCTCTGCCTCCATCTGGTCTTCGTCTCTGCTTGCCTGTCGATACTCGTGCTGCCTACAACCAGATCTGAGTCGCGGTCTGTTGTTCACAGGTCCGGCTGCTGTCACTCATCATCGCGCGTGCCTGGCTGCTTGCTGGCATTCGTTTGCGAAACGGTTCCTCTTGCAACCGAGATCTTTAGATCCTACAAACGGAGGATGCCTGATCCTGCTCCTCAAGCACACGGAAGAGTTCGGCAAGTTTTGCCAGCTGGATGTTCGGAGGGACCTGCATTGGTGTTCGCAAACAGTCAACTACCAGAAAAGGATGAGGTGCGTTGGAACTCAGCTGGGCAACGAAGCCTCCGCTTGTAGTCCTGCTCCTCAATTCACACAGCTGGGAGGAGTACTGCAAAGGTCTTGTGAAGTTCTCTGCTCCATTGACCATAAACCATGGGTACTGTCCAGCACGGTACGCACCAAGTGCTCGGGCTTGGTGCTGAATGATTACCCGGTTTTGGCGAGACTACGACAGGATTCAGGTATCAGGTATCGTGATACTACCGGGCCCATGAACTCTGACAAGTGTAAGAAGCTGGCCGAAAGGTCCAGTAACCTCTGGAGGCACAAGCCTAGCCGAGCAGGCAACTGTGTCTAAAAGACTTCCTCCAACTGCTTCACTTCAAACAGAACACTTACGTTGCCTCTGCGCACTTGGACATGGCCAAGCCTGCGAGGTGTGCTGCTGTCGCATACACACAGTGTGCACTCGGTACGTGTCACGTCGCCATGCATCGAATGTAACTTACTGCTCTGTTCCTGCGGTCACTTCGTGTCACTTCGGTCCGGAACGGCCTGCTCAACCATTGGAGCCTGCCAACTCTGGCCCGGAACACTCCTCGGGTGAAGTTGCAACCACGCAAGAAGGCTGAATCAGCTGCACAATCTTGATGACTCGTACCTTGAAACTCAATCCAGGCAACGTTAGACCCGCTTTGCGAATGTTCTCCAAAAGCGATTGCAAAGCTGCCACCTGCAGATGTGCGCGATAAACAAGCATCAGAAAGGAAGAAATGTGCATTTCTTCATCCACTGTAGCAACTGATAACAGTTGCTTTTTCTTGTTCCAGCCTCGGCAGCACCTGGCACACCAGCAGACGGTCCTTCGTGCTGCGACTGTGCCAAGAAATTCGCCTGGGCACCGTTGCGAATGGCACCCACCAGTCATCTCGCAACATTCCAAGAACCGCAGCACCGAATGAGCTCTGCACAAGTTCAGTGAGGTAGTTCCGAGCTTGGTTTTGGGTCGTTGTCGTCGCACTACCTCCACGTGGTCCCAGCGGGCAGGGGTCGGAAATGCCCTCCTGTCCGAACAATCGGGGGACGCCGGTTTCATCCATGGGGCTGCAATGCAAATACGAAGCCAAAGCAACAAACCGAAACCCCACAGTGCAACAGAAGAAACAGTGCATCCAAAACGTGCTGTGTCTTGTGAATCTGCGTGTGTGCGTTTGCCTTTCGTAAAACTGCACACTGATCAATGGCCACTTGGCCTTGGTGCAGGCTTGTTTCGAGCCAATGCAATGCGCATCAACCGAATCGGAGCCAACACGTTTTTCCTTGGCACCAACCTCATGTGAAATGCTCATCATGCAGCAGGGGCAATGTTGTGCTGTTCGGATTTCGTCATGGCGACTGCTACGATTGCTTCTCTCCATGCAGACGACACCAGCGAAAATGTGACATACTGCTGCAGCGCACCCCTGCTTGGAGCGAGGGGTGCGAACTGATCTCAAGAAGCATCCTATGACATTGGCCACCGGTGACAATTCGAAAGCATGAATACGTTTGAACCCCTCAGCTGTCTGCACTCCGCATGGTGTGTTCCAGCAACCACGATTAACAAGATGAATGGCAACTGAAATCAAAACCATGTGGGGTGAGCGGGTGGGACAAAAATTTATGCCTTCTGTCCTGCAAGCTGCCAACGACGGGACACGCGCATTGATCACTCAAGCGTGCTCGAACATGAATGTAAATCGCCGAAAAATCTAATCAATTTCTCAAAAGCAAAGCAAATCAACTCAAACACATCTCCGCTCGGGAAGTTTTGGTAAAGCACCTACAATGGGCTGCAGAATCGCACTTGCTTATGTCCTTTCTGATCCTTGCTCGCCCCTATTGCAAGGGAGGACATTCCACAGAAATGGGCTTGCACATAAACAACTGATACGGGCCCATGCGCCTCAGCACATAAGTACACAATCATTCGTGCTCCTTTTCATTTGGCCATGGAGCTTGCAAGAAATCTCCGAACCAAGAAAAGCCCGATCCATCGCATTGCCTCGCACCGACTTCAGCAACCCTCGAGAGGACAACAAAGAAACCGCCTTGCTTTTGCGGTAGTGATAGTGCTGAAACTCGCAGTAGGCTTTTGAAGCGAACGTTTGTCGTGAGTGTGTACTTTTATTCGACAGTGTTTTCTGCAAAGAAAAGGAGATTGCATCCCTTTTGCTCCTGCTGCGTGGCCGTTCTCCTCCCACGGCTTGACGGTGGTTTACGATATGTTTTGACCTCTCCTTCTCGTCTCCGGCTGTGTGTGCTACCAGCCTGGGCGTTCCTGCTTTGTCCTCGGCGTGGCTTGCGCTGTCTCTCCTCCTTCAAGCCGCAACCCTGTGCGTTATTGGCCTGTCCGTCTCTCCTACCTCTCGCTGCTTCTTCGGGCCGCGCCTCTGTGCGCTATTGGCCTGTCCTCTGCTGCCTTCCTCTTTTGTCCTCGGCGTGGCCGTTTTGGCCGCTACTCCTATATCGTGCTGCTTCTTCAGGCCGCGCCTCTGCACTGTTGGCCTGTCTGTCCTCGGTGTGGCCGTTTTGGCCGCTACTTCTACCTCGTGCTGCTTCTTCGGGCCACGCCTCTGCGCTATTGGCCTGTCTGTCCTCGGTGTGGCCGTTTTGGCCGCTACTTCTACGTGCTGCTTCTTCGGGCCGCGCCTCTGTCCTCTGCTGCCTTCCTCTTTTGTCCTCGGCGTGGCCGTTTTGGCCGCTACTCCTCCCTCGTGCTGCTTCTTCGGGCCGCGCCTCTGTGCGCTATTGGCCTGTCTGTCCTCGGTCTGGCCGTTTTGGCCGCTACTCCGCTACTCCTATCGAGCATAGGTTTTTGGAGTGTTCCGGAACCCAGGGTTCGAACTCCTGGGGGGGCCCGGGGGCGGGAGAACATATAACTCCGGAACTCAGGGTTGAACCCTGGGTTCGAACTTCTCGAACCCAGGTTGAACCTTCAGTTTGAACTCTATGAACTCTATGTTCGAACCCGGGGTTCGGGAACTCTATGTTCGAACCCTGGGTTCGGAACTCTATGTTCGAACCTGGGGTTTGGGGAACTCTATACTGGAACCCCGGGTTCCGGAACCCCCCCCCGGTCCCCCAGGGAGTTCGAACCCTGGACCCGGGGTTTGGGGAACTCTATGTTGGAACCTCGGGCTCTGGAAGTCCTCCCCCCCCGGGGCGTTCGAACCCTGGGTTCGGGAACTCCACGTTTGGGGGGGGGGCGCGCCCCCCCCAACCCCCCCGCTGATTTTAGAAGCTTGCCGATAACAAAGAAAAAGACTGCCAATGACCAGTCCCTGCCACAAAAGAAGAAGAAGCCACACGAAACCGCTTTATGGGCGGTTTTTGCGAAAGAAAGACCAAACAAAGACAAAGATTGTCAATGAGGAGGAGTCTTTCTTCTCAAAGGGGCTTCAGAAGGGGCATGAAGTCTCCTACGAGAATGCTAAACCCGCGAACAAATGAACCGCCCAACCCCGGGTTCTAGACTCCCTCCCAGAGTTCGAACGGGGTTCGAACACCAACAATCACCAAACAAAAGGAAAAGAAGCCACACAGAATCGCTTTGTGGGGGTTTTGCGAAGAAAATGAACTGAGAGCACACTACAATGACAGAAACCACAAACTCAAACGCAAGCACAAACAAAAGAAGAAGAAGCCACACGAAATGGCTTAATGGGGGTTTTTGCGAAGAAAATAAATGAGAGAACAAGAAGTAATGATACAAAACGCAATCAAACACACAAAAGAAAAAGAAACACACAAGAGCCAACTAAAATGAAACTCTGGGTTCGGGAACTCTATGTTCAAACCCTGGGTTCAATCTCTTCGCCTTTCAGAGTTCAACTCCAGGTTCAACTCCAGTTCAAGAAGTTCGGAATTGAGTTTAACTTGGAGTTCAACTCAAAGTTCGAATCCAGGGTTCGGAGGGAACTTCGATGTTCGAACATTGGGTTCGAGGCTCCGAACTCTTGGTTCGGAGTTCCAGAACCCTGGGTTCGGAACTCCAAGTTCCAAACCTTGGTTTGAACACCCCCCCAAAAACCTATGTACTGTAGACTCCAATCTCGCGCTGCTTCTTCGGGCCGCGCTGCTTCTTCGGGCCGCGTCTCTGTGCGCTTTTGGCCTGTCTGTCCTCGGTGTGGCCGTTTTGCGGCTACTTCCACTTGTGCTTCTTCCGGCCGCGCCTCTGCGCTATTTGTCCTCTGCTGCGGTTCTCTTTTGTTCTCAGCGTGGCCATTTTGCCCCCAACTCCCACCTGTCCGCGCCTCTGTGCACTGTTGGCCTGTCTGTCATCGGCGCCGCTGTTCCTACCTTGTACTGCTTCTTCAGGCCGTGCTTCTTGCGCTATTGGCCTGTCCTCTGTCTTGGCGTCGCCGTTTCCGCCACTGCTTCTTCGTGCCGCGCGTCTCTGTGCGCTATTGGCCTATTTTTCCTTGGCGTGGCCGTTTTGGCCTGTCGTGCTGCTTCTTCGGGCCGCGTCTTTGTGCGCATTGGCCTCTGCTGCATTCCTCTTTTGTGCTCGGTGTGGCCGGTCTGGCCGCTACAGACTTCTACGTTCTGCTGCTTCTTCGGGCCGTGCCTCTGTGCGGTTTTGGCCTGTCGTGCTGCCTTTCATGCTGTGTTTCTCTGCGTGGCTTTTTTGGTTGGTTGCGCTTGTTCACTATTGGCCAGATCTGCTGCCTGCCTGCTTTGTTCTCGGCGTGGCCGTTGGCCGTGTCGCCGTGTTCCTTCTTGGGCTGCGCCTCCGTGTGCGATTGGATGCCACAGCGGCTTTCCTGGCGCGTGCAAGCCGCCTTCTTCATCGCTTGGTTTCCCCCCCCCCTAGACTCTCCCCCCCAAGCAAGCTTTAGCAAGTGCTTGCCAAGATCTTGCCAAGGTTTGCGCTTATTAGCAGCTCGGTGGGGCCTCGACCTTGGTTTCCGTAACCTTCACGGAAGTTGCCACGGCTCTGACGGCCTCGGAAGGTTCTGACAGGGTTGCTGAGGCCTTGCTAGGGCCTTGCTAAGGCCTTGCTTTGCTGCGGCCTTGCTTGCTGTTCGCTTGCCGCTGGAGGGTCGGAGGGTCTGCTGAGCAAGACTCGGAAGTGGAAAATGCCATTTCTCAGTTTCTCAGTGAGACTTGCTGAGGGTGCCTGGCGGGGGGGAGGGGACACAGAGGGGGGGGGGGCAAACAAAGCATGACTTCTGCCCGGCAGCGGCGGCAACCCAAGCTATAGATGCTGCTGTGGCTCTACTGCCCCGGCACCCCCAGCCACCACTCTGCAGGCCATTTCTGTTGTCAAGAATTAAAAAAAAAAAAGAGTGACAAGCGGAAAGCACTAAACCTTGTGCCCCTACTGCTGCAGGACGCCATTGCCCAGGACCCGAGCTGTAATTTACAAACGTACTTTGCCCGGAGCCGCTCTCAGGCCTCTGATCACCACAAAGGACGGAGGTTGCGGTGTGACTTGGAACGTTGGTCTTGCAAGAAGCCTGGTTAGAAGTTCTGTTTACACAACCAAGAAGACTTTGACCTTGTCTGCAGGAATCGCATTGGAGGTTCACCAACTTCTGGTGCCTGCTCCGGTTTTATGTCATTACAGTGGTGCCTCAGACCATCGCTTTCAAGGGTGCATGATCCTTGTGCAGAAGTCTCTCTGGCTTGCTTTGACGCAATCAGATGGTCACTTCTGCATCTCTAACTTTCAAAAAAAGGGCGCAACGTTCACTTGATCAATGCATAGTGTAAAAAGCCCTGATCAGGCAGCCGTCCTACATTCCTGGTCAAGGACAATACCGTTCAGAACAGTAGGAGGCCCCCCAGGCCAGGCTGCTCCAGACAGGCCAAATCACCGGAACCAATCACGCACATTCTAGCAAAAGCAACGCCAGCGACAGAGCTTTCAACGCTCGGTGCCCGCTCCTGCATGCACCCGCCGCACATCATGCTTTGCTGGATTTGAAAAACTCTGGTTGACCCAGCAGACACCACACGTTTCCACTTGATGAGCTCCTGGCCACAGCTCGTGCCAAGCTTTACGTCAACTTCTCCACTTCTACCCCGCACCCACTTAATGTTGCGAAATGCTGCC